AGTGGCTTCGGAGCCTTGGGACGTCAACTTGCATGCCGGGCAAGACACTCCCAGTCCAACCCAGGCAGCCGAAGATGGCTTCATTGTGGTGGAGATGGAGAGCGAGTCGGGCCAGCAAGGCCTGGTGGTGGGCGAGCACCACGACCGCCCCCGGCAACGGACCTTCCGGCGAGCCAGAAAGCCGCCCCTTCGCAACGGCAGCATCTGGCGCTTTAAGTGCCCCGACTGCGGGGTCTGCTACAGCCAGCACTCCCAGCTGCGCTCCCACCAGAAGGGGCGGAAACGCCGAGGAAGGAGCTTCCTGTGCGAATGTGGATCTCCCTTCCGGGGCCTGCTCCACCTGCTGCGCCACCAGCTCCGACACCTGGAGGAAGCCCTCTTCATTTGCTCAACCTGCGGGAAGTCGCTCCGAGGACATGCCGGTTTGCAAAGGCACAACTCCTGCCAACCCGGCTCGGCTCGTTTCAGCTGCCCTTGTGGCGTCAACTTCCGACGTTTGTCCCGTTACCTCTGGCATCATGTCAGGAGCCAGCGGCCCGGCTTGCGAGTGTACACCCTCGCAGGTTTCCTCTCCTCCACCTGAGCTGGGTGGGCAGGTGGGGCCGGTTGAAGGGCAGGAGGGGGGGAGCGTTCGGAGGACGGGATTGGTCGGGGCCCATTCGCTGATTGTTGCTGTCTGATGTTTGTTTAGTTTCCCCCAATGTAATTAATATAAAGATGGTAATTAAAGAGCTGAGATCCTGATCCCCTAATGTGTTGCTTACCTGTGCGGAGGGGGCAGAGGGGGGCATTGGGAAGGAGGGACCTTCTAACCATTTTACCAGGAACTAAATTGCATTGGGACGTGGTGACTCAGTGGCTAAGACGCTGAGCTTGTCGATCGAAAGGTCGGCAGTTCAGTGGTTCGAATCCCTAGTGCCGCGTAATGGGTTACTTGTCCCAGCTTCTGCCAACCTAGCAGTTCGAAAGCACGTAAAAAATGCAAGTAGAATGCAAGTAGAAAAATAGGGACCACCTTTGGCGTTTAGTCATGTCGGCCACATGTCTTCGGACAGTGCTGGCACTTCAGCTTTGAAACGGAGATGAGCACCGCCCCCCAGAGTCGGGAACAACTAGCACATATGTAGGAGGGGAACCTTTACCTTTACCTAAACTGCGTTGGTTGGGGGTGATGGCATTCTTCCTGAGGGGGTACAATATTTACCAGACCAATTTATCGACCATAGTTGTATGCAGGGAGTTCTCGCTCAACGTCCACAATTGGAACCGGCAACTCTGCTGCTAACTTTGACCTCACGTGACCGCAACACAACTTTTATGATCTTGGTTCCGTCACGGTTGCTAAGCGAATCACCTGCGGTCGGTAAGCAAAGCATCCCCTGACCACAGCTTGCAATTTTACTGCAGTCGTCGGCCTGGACGCGGTTGGAAGCGAGCTGGGAAGCGTGCACATACACCTGGTGATCACATGACCACAGGACACTGCCGCGGTCGTAAGCCTCTGGACCGGCCTTAGAGTTGCTTTCTCAGCGACATAACTTTGGTTGCTAAGTAGGGCAGTCACTAAGGGAGGTCTACCTGTATGCTGTTTTTTTACGCAAGTGTAAAACCATTACAAATTCTGTGGGGAAGACCCTTTTTCTTGTGATAAGAGAACAGGAACTCTCTTGGCTTCCTTTTCTGACAGCCTTCGACGGCCTTCCGATCCCCGACATCTTTCATTCAGTGGGTCGCAGATGGGAGAGAAGATGGAAGGTCTGATCTGCATGTTTTGCAACCTACCCTTCCTTCCCTCCCTCCCTTCCCCCAACAGCTAAGGCCATGATGGTGAACCTATGGCACGCATGCCACAGGTGGCACGCAGAGCCATATCGGTGGGCACACGAGCATTGCCCTAGCTCAGCTCCAGCGCGCACATCTGATTTTTGGGCCTTCCAGGCCCACTGGAAATTGGCAAATGGGCCTTTTCTGGCCTCCAGACGGGTGGGGAAGCCTGTTTTCGCTCTCCCCAGACGCCAAGAAAGCTTCTGGAGCCTGGGGAGGGTGAAAAATGGGCCTACCGGGTCCACTGTGCCATTGCGTGCCAAAAGTGGGGGGAGTGTGCATGGGGCGCATTGAATTATGAATATGGGCACACGCGCACGTGACCCCTGCCTCGGGTGGGTTCTAAATTTTTTTACTACCAGTTCTGTGGGCGTGGCTTATTTTGTGGGTGTGGCTTGGAGGTCATGTGACTAGGTGGGCGTGGCTAGCTGGTCAGAGTCATTTCTGGAAGGTCCTCGCACTTACGACCCGGCTCATTTGTTTGCTTTTAACACTGATCAGCTGTAGGGCGGCCCTTTGAAGCCCCGCGGCAAGAGTTTAAACAGTTTTTTTCCCTCTAGTCATCAGCTGGGACTCAGGAGGCAGCAATAGATTGGGGGTGGGACCAAATAAAAGGTAAGAATAACGTGGGGGGGTGGGAGGGCGGGGGGGAGAACCGGTTTGGTGACGTCATATCGCCACCGCTACCGGCTTGGCCGAACCGGACCAAACCGGGAGGAACCCACCACTGCCCTCCCTGCTCCCCCCACTTTTGGCATGCGACGGCAAAAAGATTAGCCATCCCTGAGCTAAGCTAATCTCTTCCACATTCCCCCTTTTCTTTTTAATGTTTCAATTCTAACTTTCCTTCCGGATTTCTGCCCTTCCCTAAATGAAATTAGGCCCAGGGCTACAGGTCACCCACGCTAATTAAAAGAGGACAATTTACAAAATGGCCTCCGTCACACACATACCCCCTTCCCCTCTCTTCAAACAAGCTGCGTCTTTTCGGTTGTGAGTACTTCCTCCACCTTCAGAGTCAATGTCCCAATGGACTCACAGAAACTTCCTCCGACTTAGCGATCTCTTGATAGGTATAGAGTGTAAATTCCAGGTGGCATATTGCACTTGGCACATCTGGAGAACACTATATGGGAGATAGCAGATAATTTATCTTTGTTATCGGAACAAAGGCCTTTTTTCCTGCCTCTAATTAAGTGCAGGACTTTGGAAGCAGAGCTGTTCTCGTTAATGTCTCATAACAGCAATGGCACTTAGACTTACCTGTGTTTCCCCGAAAATAAAGACCCTGTTTTATATTTTTTTGAACCCCGAAATAAACGCTTGGCCTTATTTCCGGGTAGGTTTTATTATTTTGGGGTGCTTGGAGCAAGATGGGGCTCCTCTTGCTGTCTTACCTGATTTCCAGCTCTGCGTTTAAATATTTTTGTGGGGAGGCTTATTTTAGCGCATGCATTCAAAAACCTGATTGGGCTTATTATCAGGGGATGTCTTATTTTTGGGGAAACAGGATATATATCACTTCGTACTGCTTTACAACCCTCTCTAAGCAGTTTACAGAGCCGCCATATTGCCCCCAACAATCTGGGTCCTCGTTTTACCGACCTCGGAAGGATGGAAGGCTGAGTCAACCTTGAGCCGGTCAGGATCAAACTACTGGTAGTGACCAGAGTTAGCCTGCAATACTGCATTCTAACCACTGCGCCACCACGGCTCTTAAAGTTGTGGATACAATCACAAGACAGGCATTTCGGACAAAATACCTTGGACGATGAGCTAAATACAGGCGAAGTTTGCATGGCAACTGCTGTAATGCGCAAAAGAGCCATCCAAGGTGAAAAGCTAAATCAAGTTTGGCGTGTTGGTACCCTTAAAACTGAGATCTCGTAATCTCAATCTGGGGTTTTAAGTGGAGTTCAGCATGGAAACTTAAGGAATTGCTTGCTTGCAAAGCATCTGTCCCTAACATTTCGCTGAATATGGTTCTTTAGCTTGGTTCAGATCATTACTGGATGTTCCTTCCTTTTGCTGGACGTTTAATATACAGTACAGGTAGAGTGACCAGTTGCTTTCACGACCATTCAAAGTTACAATGGACCCCCTTCCCCCTAAAAGCTACTTAAGACACAGTTACAAAGTTCCAACAGTGGCGCGCACACGCCCCCTGGTGGTCACATGGCTTCATTCCGCGCTCTTGACAGCTGCCTCACCTTTACGTTAAGTTGCAGCATTCTGTGTTCACGTGACACAATTTTGTAATAACACTTAGGCTTATATACCACTTCGTAGTGCTTTGCAGCTTCCTCTAACTGGTTTACAGCCTATCCCACCCCCCACCCAACAATCTGGGTCCTCATTTTACCAACCTCAGAAGGATGGCTTGAGCCGGTCAGGATCGAACTGCTGACAGCGAGTAGAGTTAGCTTGCAATACTGCATTCTAACCACTGCGCCACCACAGCGGCTCTTAAGTTGTGGGCACAGTCAACGACACAGGCATTTCGGACAAAATAACCTTGAGTCAGCATACCACTTCCAACAATCTGGGTCCTCGCTTTACCGACCTCAGAAGGATGGAAAGCTGAGTCCAATCTTGAGCCTGTGAGAATCGAACTGCTGGCAGTCGGCAGAATTTAGCCTGCAATACTGCATTCTAACCACTGTGTCACCCTGGCTCTTTACATCAGTTTTTGCTGGAATCCAGTCTTTCGCGGGTTTCCAGCACAGAATTAGTGGCCATAAGAATGCATTGATTTGCTTAATGACTAGGGGGTTTTGCTCAACCACCACCACTAAAAAGGTGGTAAAATTGGGTTGGTCATGTGGGTGAACTGACTTATGACAGGTCTTCAGCAATTTCCCATCGAACAATGCCCACAGCAATGCATTGACTTGCTTAATGAGTATGGCATTTGCTGAACAACTATGGGGAAAAAAATGTCATAAAATTGGATTGGTTGTGTGGATGTCTTGACTTAATGATCATTGTGACTTAAATTCCAGGCTGCATTACGGTCATAAATTGAGGACTACTCGTCAACCAACCCAAACACCACTGTCGAGAACAAACTTCTTTGGGTAGCGTGCCTTGTGATTGTGTTAATAATTCAACGTTTGACCGTGGAAACCCCTGATCCCAAGTTTTGCCGTTCACACTAAGGCCGAATCCCGTCTTCCTGTTGGAGATGCTTTAATTTAGATCCTTGCACCAAATGCGCGATCGGAACTCAATCCGATCAAGTCGTATGATTTCTTAAGTAGCGTCGAGAATTTCACACAGATAATAATAAAAATACAAACGAAACCCTCTCCCTGTGATCAGGGCAAGCGTCCCGGCCCTGTAGGGCGGCTTGTCGCTCAAGCTCAAGTCACCAAAACCGGGTGGCAAGCTGTCAAAATTAAACGGAATGACGTCTTCCGTCCTTGAGAAGTTCTGGGCAGTAGCTGGCCAACTGCTTCCTGCAGATCTGATTCCTGCTACGTCTGGAAAGGTTTCTGCCCAAGACCAAAGGCAGAACCTTTGCATTCCACAGCGCTGAGATTTTTTTTTTCTCTTCCGTTTCAAGTACGTTTCTGGCTGTTTTCCTATCCCGTAAGTGGTTTCCATCCCTTTCCTCCCACGGTTCGTTTTTTATCTTCAGCAACGAGAGGATACCAGGATATGGTTTCCATCCAGAAGAAAACCTCCCAACCCACCTCCCCGGCCAAGGCACATGTCTCTGCAGATACATTTACCGACACAATAAGTTTCCTCAACTGCAAACCAGGTTTTTATACTAGCCTTGTGGCCGGCCGGCCATTCTAAAGAAAGTTATAAGGCTCGTCGTGTCTTGAAGGTACCACGAGATGGCGCTATAGTGACAGTTATTTTCTTCTCCGTGTACTGCTTTGGCTTACGGAATCCATTAAAAAAAAAAAAGGCAGTCGGTGTTCTAAAAGTTCATATCTTGAGCCAGGAGTGAGAAAATGAGAGCTCAAAATCCTCTTGGTGGCCACCTGAGATGATAGGGGGGGAAAAAAGTCGAAAGAGGGATGACATGTTAATTCTGTGCTCAGACAGCTCCAATAAATATCAACCTAAATGCCCGTTTTATCTACTTGCACCAGACCTAACAGACTGATCACAGGTATTGTTTATTTTAAAAAAATCAAATCCTTATTTTTTTTAAAAAAAAAAAAATTATATCCCAATTTTATTATTTTTTATAAATAACCCAAGTTGGTGAACATTCCTAGTAATCCTCCTTCCTATTTACCCACCACTACAATTTTGTGAGGTGGGTTAGGCTGAGAGAAAATGACTGGCTCAAAGTCACCCAAGCCAGCTTTCACCTAAAATAGGGACTAGAACTCACGGTCTCCTGGTAATTGGCCCAAAGTACCCAGCCAGCTTTCATGCTTAAGGTGGGACTAGAACTCACGGTCTCATGGTGATTGGCCCAAAGTCACCCAGTCAGTTTTCATGCTTAAGGTGGGACTAGAACTCACAGCCTCCTGGTTTCTAGCCTGGTGCCTTAACTACTAAACCAGGGTGGAATACAGCAGGTATTCTTAAAAAAAAAAAACACCTCTACATTTTAGATGCACGGATTTGGCATTCAAAGTAAAATTACCTGAACCATCCACCTGAACCCATTAATTTTGGTTTCTGAGGGCATAACCAAGAGAAGGCTATTCTAGCTAAATTAGAACTGCGACCCCTTCTAAAATACCGCATAGTGTCGGGCTTCTCAGATGATCCAAAAACTGTGGCCTGATGAGCTAATCCTGTTTTTATTGTCAAGCTACATTAACAGAACCTTGCAAGTTCAAGTAGCCACCAATCTCTTTGACTGCCCGGTTATTTTTAATTTACTTTCCCTGCCTGTTATGTAACTGTGGGCCAAGACTCCTCTTATCTGATCGTTCCCTAGGCAGCATCTCTTCCCTCCCCTTCCTGCCTCTCAGGGTCGTTCCCACATTACACTTGGTGAAAGATTTTCACTTTCTTTGGCCTTTCCTTGAACCCACATTCCATAACCTTCCCTGTTTTTAGCCCTGTCATTTCGTGCGTTTACTTTTTGCAAACGGAAAAGATCGTCCCCCCCCCAAAAAAAGACCCACCAGTTCTAGTCCACAGAGGCCCAACCTTACCTGGCAGTCCTTGACCATCAATGCACCTGCTGTTCCTCCTGTTGCTTGGACTGCACAAGGGCAGAAAGCAATCTGGTCATCTCATCCAGTTTCCCCTCAAGGGACATGATCTGTTTTTCCAGCTCCTGGTGAGAGATACTAAGGCTGGATCTGAGGTCGCACATGATCATTTGCATCTGGAAGGAGGAGAAGACAGAAATCATGCTGGTGGGCCGGGTTTGGCGTGTCTCTGGAGGTCTCCTGACTCCTTGAAGACAGGAGTCAGAAGTACAAGTCTCCTCAAGTTGAACTCCTGGTGACTTCGTGGACAACATCCGCCCAGCTTTCTTTTTTGGGGGGTCCTTTAGCTTCCCATGCTAACCTAGAGCAAGGGTGTCAAACTCAAGTCCCGGGGGCAGGATCCGGCCCATGAGGTCCTTAGATCTGGCCCACTGGACTGCTCTGGAAACATCAAAGGACAGCAGCGGTGCCTCTGCTGGCAAAAACGGAGCTCGGGAAGGCTGCATGCGGCCCTCCCAAACTCTGTTTTCACTGGCAGAGCGTTGCAGGAGACCGGGGTGGCTGAAAACGGAGCTCGGGAGCCCGTTTTCACTGGCAGAGCGGCCAGGCCACCACAGGTGCCCCTCAAGAGGTGGGATTCACTTACCTTCCCTACCGGTTCACAAATGTGAGTGCACGCGCCACCTTCCACACATGCTCTGCTCATGCGCGTGCCATCCACGCATGCGCACAGCCTCCAAAACATGGCTAAATAGAACAGCATTACATCCAGGCAGGTGGGCGGAGCTTACTGCAGTTGGTGCTACCAGTTTGCTCGAACCGGACAGAACCATCTGAATCCCACCACTGGTGCCCCTGACACGAGTGATGTCAAGATGGCCACACCCATCCCAGTCCTCCGAGGATGGACTCAAATGAAATTGAGCCCTCAATGAAATCGAGTTTGACACCCCCGACCTAGAGTGTGGCGGTCACCCATCCTGCCTAACCTCTGACCCCAAACAAGGTCAGCTAACAAATACAACCTACAAGCAGAAAAATCTATTCCATCTCCGCTAAAGATAGTGATGGAGAAGTGATAGTTTTCCAGACGAGGCTGATTCCCGGGATCCTTCGCCCTTGATTGCCCTGTCTGGGTTGCTGGAAATTGTAGTTCAGGCACCCACGTGTAGAAGAATCAGGCCTTCTTTTAAACCCGGGCAAGGGCTCTCCTCTCATGGGCTGGCTAGAAAACCCACCTTAGAAATATCCACCATGGTATTCACTTGATCTCGGATCTTGCGGTGTTTCATTCTCACATGGCGAAACCTGCAACAAAGAAAGAGTTAGTCCCTGAGCAACATGATTAGGGGACTGGAGGCTAATATAAAAGAACAGCTGCAGGAATTGGGTATGTCTAGTTCAATGAAAAGAAGGACTAGGGGAGACATGATAGCAGTCTTCCGCTATCTAAGGATGAGAGGGTCAACCTATTCTCCAAAGCTCCTGAAGGCAAAAGATGGCTGGCTGGGGAATTCTGGGAGTTGAAGACCACAAGTCTTAAAAGTTGCCAAGGTTGGACAACCCTCTTCTATAACAGGGGTGTCAAACTCAAGGCCCGCGTGCCGGATCTGGATCCGCGATGTGGTTTGATCTGGCCCGTGGGGCTGTCCTGGAAAATTAAAGGGGCTGGCCCACATTGCTTTATCCCGGCCCACCCCATCCTGGTGGGCGCGCAGATGCGTGCACCGGTGGTGGGTTTCAAAATTTTTTACTACCGGGTCTGTGGGCGTGGCTTGGTGAGCGTGTCATGGCTTGATGGGCGTGGCAGGGGAAGGATACTGTAAAATCTCCATTCCCTCCCCACTCCAGGGGAAGGTTACTGCAAAATCCCCACTTCCTCCCAATCAGCTGGGACTCGGGAGGCAGAGAATAGATGGGGGTGGGGCCAGTCAGAATTTTTAACTACCAGTTCTCCAAACTACTCAAAATTTCCGCTACCGGTTCTCCAGAACCTGTCAGAACCTGCTGGATTTCACCCAGGGTAAGAACTTACATGTGAATGGCTGCCAGCAGCCGCCGATGGTGTTTGCGTGTTCTTAGCCCATCCTTCCTCTTGGTGTGCTTGTGCAATAACCAGGCTTCTTGTAGTACATTGGCAGCTGAGCATTTCATCTGGAGGCACATGCAAATTTGGTCAAGAAAGAGATTTTATCTTTGAGACAACCACTGTTTCTCACCCTAACCTGAGACTTGAGAGTTATGTTTGCAAGACATAAACTGCACTTTACTGTACCGCAGTAGGGTAAATTAGCTCATCTGGACATCAAAGGTTGGTGATCTGTGGCCCCTCCAGATGTTGCTAGACTCTCAACATTCCCAACTAAGTGCAGGCAATGATAAAAGACGCTGGGAGTTAGAGCTAAACATCAGAAATGCCATAGACGGCTTGCTTCTACCTCGCACTCTTTGGGAACAGCAGCTGTTTGTGGCTTAGAGGGGGAAGAGGAGAAGGAAGAGAAGGAGGAGAAGGAAGAGGGAGGAGGAGGAGGAGGAGAAGGAGGAGGAGGAGGAAGGAGGAGGAGGAGGAGAAGAAGAAGAAGAGGAAGAAAAGAAGAAGAAGAGGAAGAAGAAGAAGAAGAAGAACCACCACCACCACCACCACCACCCCTGGTGGTGCAGTGATTACAATGCAGTATTCCAGGCAAATTCTATTCACTACCAGGAGTTCGATCCTGACCAGCTCAAGGTTGACTCAGCCTTCCATCCTTCCGAGGTCGGTAAAATAAGGACCCAAATTGTTGGCGGCAATATGTTGACACCGTAACACACCCCGAGAGCACTGTAAAGCACTAAGGGGTGGTCTAAGTCTAAATGCTACTGCTATCACGAAGAAGAAGTCGCCAGCGGGAGAATGGCATGAAACTCATCCCAACTTGATGGTAAAACCATGCCTCTGATGAAGCTACCAGTGCCTGCGGCACTATTCATTCTACGTGTCCTTCAGAAATTCAAAAGAAGAATCAGTGTGCAAGGATGTTCACAGACCAGTTTCTCCCCCCACCCCATCCCCCCAAAAATGGTCCCTATCTTATCTCCTGATTTACATCCGGGAGAAAATGACTGTATTTTTTAATCAGCGATACATAGCAGTGATTAGCCTGTTACCAATCATGTTACTAACCAGTGGTGAGTTTCAAATTTTTTTAATACTGGTTCTGTGGGCGTGGCTTGGTGGGTGTGACATGGCTTGGTGGGCGTGGCAGGGGAAGGATATTGTAAAATCTCCATTCCCTCCCCAATCCAGGGAAAGGTTACTGCAAAATCCCCATTTCTTCCCAATCAGCTGGGACTCAGGAGTCAGAGAATAGATGGGGGTGAGGCCAGTCAGAATTTTACTACCGGTTCTCCAAACTACTCAAAATTTCCACTATCGGTTCTCCAGAACTGGTCAGAATCTGCTGAAACCCACCTCTGTTACTAACCCTCCCTAAAACCGAGTAGAGAATTTGGCAATGCTTTTTTTTTTTTTTTTAATCCTTTTTTTCCAGGGTGTGGGAGAATGTGGCTTAATAATTGCAACCTTAGTAAAGAAAGTGACAAAACAAATCAGCCTTTGATGCGCTGATCAGAGCGTTGTGATGCCAAGAGGAAGCCACAGAAGGTGGGAGTGGGGAGGCACAATCTATCACAATTTGCACATATGTTTGAGAACACACCCTGTGCTACAAGGCAGGGTGCCCAGCAAAACCAATGTTATTTATCGTGGAGCAAGGGTGGATAATCCTTTTACTGTTAAAAAGCTATATTTCCCCCAAGAGAAATCTGCCAGATAGCACATCCAATGGTGAGATGTCAAGAGAAAATAGTCCTCTTTTTTTTCCCCCCTACTTCTTCTCATATTCACATTTCTTTTTTGCCAGCCCCTCCATGTGGTTTCTGGACCATAGCTGATTGTTACTAGGGACCCAACTTCATCCCTTTCAAAATAACTTCTGAAATGAAGCCCAGGGCCATAAACTGCCCACTCATCTCACAGGGGTTCTTCACCACTGGATCTACAGCTTATGATCCTGGCCATGACAATTAGCAAATAGAATAGACTAGAAAAGAATTCCCCTGTGCCATCACTCTGCCGAACACCTAATTCCCACAGCACTGCCCCATTTCTCCTCTTTTCTCATCCTCTCATCTTTCCTGTTGTCTTCACCTTTAGAATAGAATTAGAATTAGAATTAGAATTAGAATAGAACAGAACAGAACAGAACAGAACAGAATAGAATAGAATAATGGAAGGGACTTTGAGGTCTTCTAGTCCAACCCCTTGCTTAGGCAGGAAACCCTACACCACTTCAGACAAATGGTTATCCAACCTCTTAAAAACTTCCAGTGTTGGACCATTCACAACTTCTGCAGGCAAGCTGTTCCACTTATTAATTGTTCTCACTGTCAGGAAATTTCTCCTTAGTTCTAGTTTGCTTCTCTCCTTGATTAGTTTTCACCCGTTGCTTCTTGTCCTACATTCGGGTGCTTTGGAGAATAACTTGACTCCCACTTTGTGGCAGAGTTCATGAAGGCTGATCTCACACACAGCCTTAAGTAAGTAATTTTTGATGAAGAAGTGAATGATTTGGAAAAATATGGACGCACAACCCAACCCATCCCAACCCAAATGTCAGATTTGATAACTACCATCCTTGGGAGGGAGTAACAAAACAAATTAACTCGACTTCCCTAAATTTCTGCCTTCCTGAGATATTATAGCGTGGCTCCATTGTGCAAATTCGGAGAAGGAATTAATTCCACTTCCAAGTTCAACATGTTGCATGAACTTTTATTCCACATAAAGATAGGGTAGAATCGTTCAGAGTTGTTCCAGAAGATAGGACAAGAAACAAAGGGATTTTAAATTACAAAGAAATATTATCTTGGCTGAACTTCAGGAAAAATGTCCTAATGGTAGGACCTGCTCAACAATAGAATAATTTGTTTTGGGAGTTACAAATACAGATTAACAGAGTTGGAAGGGACCTTACAGGTCCTGTTCAAACAGGAGACCCTACATCTGCCTCTACCTAGGATTGAACTCAGAGTTCATGATGAAATGCTCCCGGTTCAGACCGGATCGGGCGATCTGGTAGCGATCGTGGCAGGTGGTTCTGTGATCCGGTAGCGATGGTGGAGCAAAGCTCTGCCCACCCACCCAGTGTCATTACTTCCTGGTTTTAACCAGGTCTCCGCGCACGAGCAAAGTCAGAGAGCACGCGTGCACTTCCAAACCGATAAGGAAGGTAAGTAGATTTCACCCCTGTCATGGACTCTCCTTCACTGAAGGGGTTTAAATAGAGGGGGGTGTCATCTGTCAGAGACACCGTAGTTGTGGCTTCTTGCAACATCTTGCAGTGTCGGAGTTGACGATCTCCACAGTATGAGGATTTTACGAGCACGCAAACTAAACAGACCTGCTAGTCAAGTCTAATCTTTATTTTGAGTGTAGACCAGCCAAAGATACGATCAGGAAGAATTACAGTCATTTCAAAAATAACTTTGTTTATGAGAGATTTAAAAATACCAATAAACTAGAATTGCTAACATAATAAGATCAGCACGGGTTGCACAGAAATCAAAACACAAGATCTTGCAATGCAAGAACGGTTGGTGAAGATGACGGAGTTAACAGAGTTGGCAGAAGTAATGTGTTTGCTTAAGAGAAAGATTGGTGTCTGTATTTATTAACGCCTGGAAACCCCTGATGGACTTTCTGCAGAAAAAAATAATGATAAAATGAACTTGTGGTTTCTGAATTTCATGACTAGAAAGGGTAGATTACAGAAAGAAGGAAACTACGGCATCATTTTAAAGGGAGCAGATAAAATATAAGTGTGTGTAGATATATATATATATACACAGGCTGCTGGCACAACACCACACCAGCCTCCTTGCTGTCAGAATCAGCTACCAGCTGCACAGGCCACTGACGGACCACAACAGAAGTCCGTTTTCACTGGCAGAAAACTTGGGCCACCACAGGCGTCCCCGACACGAGTGACATCATGCTGGCCACACCCACCATGGCCACGTCCACACCCCAGTCCCCTGAGGTCAAACACAACCCTGATGCGGCCCTCAATGAAACCGAGTTTGACACCCCTGCTATAGTCACTTCGGGCTCCAGTTGCTGAGACACCGTTCCTAAAGCTAATTTCTTCACCCTTCTGGAATTCCAGCCAGCAAAGGGTTTCTCTTACCTCTTTGGCACACTGGATATCCATCATGAAATTATGAACGTGTTTCTCGGCTCTGGTGAATTCCAGTTTATCGGCAGCCACTGCCACAAGGAGAGCTGTGCACCCCACTCCCTGGGAAGAAATACGAAAGGAGATTTTTTTAAAAAGGGTTTTTTTAAAAGAAAAAAAAAATCCATGGATTATTTCTACTAAAAGGATGGAGAAATGGCTTCAGTTAGCACAAAGTAGAAGGACTGATAGGGACGTCGTGGCTCAGTGGCTAAGACGCTGAGCTTGTCGATCGAAAAGTCGGCAGTTCAGCGGTTCGAATCCCTAGTGCCGCGTAACGGGCTGAGCTCCCATTACTTGTCCCAGCTTCTGCCAACCTAGCAGTTCGAAAGCAAGTAAAAAATGCAAGTAGAAAAATAGGGACCACCTTTGGTGGGAAGGTAACAATGTTCCATGTGCCTTTGGCATTTAGTCATGCCAGCCACATGACCACGGAGATGTCTTCGGACAGTGTTGGCTCTTTGGCTTTGAATCAGAGATGAGCACCGCTCCCTAGAGCCGGGAACGACTAGCACGCATGTGCGAGGGAATCTTTACCTTTTTTAGAAGGACTGATATGTTTTTTAAAAAGTTTAATCTGAATTCGAAAGACTGATGTGGCTATTTATTGTCTCTCTCTCTCTCTCTGCCAGCATAACATAAAAACATTTCCAAAAATATGGAATTGAAAAATTAAGCACACATAGTCCTTAAGGTACGACCACAAATTGGGATCAGAATTTTCATTGTTAAGCAGTTATTAAGTGAATCATTCTAATTCTAATTTTACGATCTTTTTGCCATCATATGGTCGTTAAGCAAATCCGACTTCTTCCCTCCCTCTCCCCGGACTGCATGTCGGCAACTGTCTGGGAAGGTCTCAAACGGTGATCATATGATCCTGGGATGCTGCAATCATTGTACATACCTCTCGGTTATCAAGCACCTGAATTTTGATCATGCGATTATAATGGTCATAATTGCAAGAACCTTTTTCAGTGCTGTTATGACTTTATACAGACACTAAACAAATGGTTGCAAATTGAGGATCACTTGTACAGCATTAGGCGGAACAGAAATACAGTTTCTCTACAAAATGCCCCATGTTGACTCTCCAAATATATATTGTACCCAATGATACAAATTTCTTTGTGATGGATCCAGAGTCAGCATACTTAGAATAGACCAATTCCAAATCAAGAAGAAAAGTTAGCCAACTCTAACATTAGTCTGAGCCTGAATAAAGCTGGATTTACAGTAGTGGCCAAAATTGTGGGAACCTTTTGGGAAAAGTGTATTTTTGAGGTTTGATGGCTAATAACACCACTTTTTCTTTTTCTTTTTTTTCTTGAGTTTCAAGAGTTTCAAGATAATCATATTCCATTGCTGGAATGGCCTGGGAATAGCCCAGACTTTCACCCAATTGAAAATATATGGAGCCGACTAAAGAAACTTGCTAGTCAGAAGCAACCCAGCAATAAAACTCAGAATAGAAGCAATCCTTCAATCTTGGTTTCACATTAGAACAGCTGCAGAATTCAAAGACTTGGTTCACTCCATGGGAAGACGTTGTAAGGCCGTCATTCATGCTAAAGGTTACCCAACTAAGGACTAATTGACATGGTGATAATTTTTGTATATCCCGTTTCACTTTTCTTCTTTATAACTGCTATTCTATTAGCAAATCCTTCATAAAAGTTATTGCATTACATTCTTGATTAAATTATCTTTCCATTGATATATAATTTTATGGTACTACTCCAAAAAAAAAAAAGTGGTATTATTAGCTAGTTTTAGAAAATACACTTTTCCCAAAAAGTTTCCACAATTTTGGCCACTACTATAAGCCCAATCATTGGTACTCGGTGCCCAGTGAATAATTCCAGGATATGCTGATAGCTGAGGCACCCCATTATTTTAGTCTATGGCAGTATTTCTCAACCTTAGTAGCTTGAAGATGGGTGGACTTCAACTCCCAGAATCCCCCAGCCAGCGCTGCTGGCTGGGGGATTCTGGGAGTTGAAGTCCACCCATCTTCAAGCTTCCAAGGTTGAGAAACACTAGTCTATGGGATGGTAATTGAAAGATGGTGTAAAACTGGTACTTAGCACTTCTCTGTTCACTCAACTCCTAAATAGAAACAGTGAGAACAACAAACAAGAACTGCAATTGGAGCTGAGTTTGAACCACTTAAGAGTGCCAAAGCTTAAGGCAAACATTCCATTACAAAATTAACTTTGCTTAAATTGGGGGCTGGGGGGGGGAGGAGGATTATTCCAAAAGGTGTTTCTCCACTTTGGCAACTTGGAGGTGCGTGGACTTCAACCCCCATCAAAGATAAGGGACTCTGGAGACTCACAATCTTTTCCAACCCTTCAAAATTGATTGAATGATCGCTGATAGACCATCAAGTTGGTGTCATCTCTTAATAACCACGTTGATGTTCTCTAGGAGCATCCATTTCTGCCCTGGTCTTTCGCATCGTCCAGGGATGTCCCATTGCTCTTGTAACTGAGTCCCTCCACCATGCTGCTGGTCATCCTTTTCTCTTTATTTCAATTTTTTCTGCAACAATACATCCTCCTCCTAGCTATGATAGCTAGGTCCTATATGTTTATGTCTATATATTTCTATCTCTATCTCTATCTAGTTATAGCTAGCTAGCTAGCTATCATCTATCCTGTCTGTCTGTCTGTTTGTCTCTATCATCTATTTGTCTGTCTATTATCTATCTATCTACTGTATCTATCTATCTATCTGTCTATCTTGTCTGTCTGTCTATCTATCTATCTATCCTGTCTATCTGTCTGTCTATCATCTGTCTGTCTGTCCATTATCTATCTATCTATCTATCTATCTATCTATCTATCTATCTATCTACCTATCTATCTATCCTGTCTGTCTGTCTGTCTATATATCTATTTATCTATCACCTATCTATCTATCTGTCTATCTATCTATTATCTATCTATCTATCTATCTATCTATCTATCTATCTATCTATCTATCTAGTCTGTCTGTCTGTCTGTCTGTCTGTCTATCTATCTATCTATCTATCTATCTATCTATCTATCTATCCTGTCTGTCTGTCTGTCTGTCTGTCTGTCTGTCTGTCTGTCTGTCTATCTATCTATCTATCTATCTATCTATCTATCTATCTATCTATCTATCTATCACCTATCTATTCACACGCACATGCACATCTATGTGTAAATAAGCATTGCAACTTTGCATCATCTTTCTCACTGTAAGATGTTGTCATGTTCCTTACCATAACACCAGTGAACAAGCACACGACTTTCCCGCAGACTGTTTCGGGCACCACATCTCCGTAGCCAATGGTCAGAAAAGTGATGGGAATCAACCAGAATGTTCCACCCAGGTATTCATTCTCATCCATATACTGCCTGGCAAATCAAATAAGAGAGAATCAATATGAAAATAGATTTCATGCTCATATTTATCTAGGAAGGCACAATCGGTACGCAACCTATGACCCGAGTTAGCACCAGAATTACCGTTGCTAAGCGAGACAGTTGTTAAATGGGGTAGTCCTTAATTTAAGAACATGACTGGGACCAGAATTTTCATTGCTAAGTCAGATCGTTGTTAAGTGAGTCACACCCCTTTTTTTGCCACGGTTGTTATGCAAATCACTGCAGTTGTTAAATGAATCATGTTGTTAAGCAAATACAGCTTTCCCCCATCCCACCCCCATTGACTTTGCTTGTTGGAAGCCAGCTGGGAAAGTTGCAAATGGAAATCACGTGACCTTGGGACATTGTCACTGTCATAAATACATGCTACAAGCACCCAGATTTTGATCATGTGGCCCTGAAGGTGCTACAATGGTCATTAATTCAAGATTCAATCATAAGTCATTTTCTTCAATGCTGAACAGTTGGTGAACGAATGAATGTAGGACTCCCTGTATTATATCCCAGTTAATTGTTTGACCATTCCTGGAGCAGCTAACGATGGTATGAAACAATGGAATGGAATGGAAAATAGAAAATAGAATAGAATTAAGAATACAGAATAGAGTAGAGTAGAGTAGAGTAGAGTAGAGTAGAGTAGAGTAGAGTAGAGTAGAGTAGAGTAGAATAGAATAGAGTAGAGTAGAGTAGAATAGAGAATAGAATAGAATAGAATAGAATAGAATAGAATAGAATTCTGAATAGAATAGAATAGAATAGAATAGAATAGAATAGAATAGAATAGAATAGAATAGAATAGAATTAAGAATACTTTAGACTAGACTAGACTAGACTAGACTGGAATGGAATGGAATAGACAGTTGTATAAACAGGAGTCATAGAATCAAAATCACATGAAGCATTAGTACCGCTTTAGAAAACCTTAGTAAGACCACACCTGGAATACAGCATCCAGTTTTGGTCACCACATTACAAAAAAGATATTGAGACTTTGGAAAAAGTGCAGAGAAGAGCAACGAAGATGATCAAAGGCCTGGAGACTAAAACATATGAAGAACGGTTGCAGGAACTGGGTATGGCCAGTCTAGAGAAAGAAGTTTGCAGAAAAGAAGGACTAGGGGTGACATGACTGCAGTGTTCCAGTATTTGAGGGGCTGCCACAAAGAAGAGGGGGGTCAACTTATTTTCCAAAGCACCAGAAGGCAGGACAAGAAACAATGGATGGAAACTAATCAAGGAGAGAAGCAACCTGGAATTAAAGAGAAACTTCCTAACAGGACAATTAACCAGTGGAACGACTTGCCTTCAGACGTTGTGGGTGTTTCATCACTGGAGATTTTTAAGAAGAGACTGGACAGCCATTCGTCTGGACTAGAAGACCTCTAAGGTCCTTTCCAGCATTATTCTGACACAATATCTTCATGTGAAGATAACTCCAAGAGATCCAGAGTCTGGGAGTTATGGGGATCATTTAGCAATGGGGTTGATGGGCTCATGCAAACAACCTAAAAACATTCTCAGTAGACATCAAGACAACTTTGTCAGAAGTCCCAGGATTTAGACACTTTCTCATTCATGGGAAAATATTCGGTCCTTCCGAAATATGGTGGGAATCCAGTAGGAACTCTAAGCCAAGCCAGTTTGACCAGAAGTTTTTTCCCATCATGCTCTATGAGAAGCAGGCCAACTAATACACGAGAACAGGTTGTTGATTTTAGAGTTGAGCCACCTTTCAACTCTTTTGAAATCAGAAGGAGTCTTTTTTTCTTTCTTTCTTTCTTTTTTAAAATCTGTGTCAGCCAAAGTGACAAAATGTTTATTTTTCCTCTAGCAGAGTGGCTCACTTAGTTGTTGACCTTCTCAGGTGACCTGACTTTTGGCTGGCTGACAAGACAGTAAATGGAGCTGTCCTAAAAAAATAAAAATCCAAAGGAAATGGCTTTTTCAATTTAGAAGGAGGTAGAAATCCTTCGGAGAAGAGGACAGAGTTCAAGAAGTTGGGCACCCCTGCTTGCTGTGCAAAGGTTCCCAAGATTTGACCTACAAATTCCCCCAGAACAGTTTGGGAAAATCTGGGGCCAATCATGCAATTATGCAAAATTTACAAAGTGGTTCTCGAGGATAATTTGCCATGAAGAGGCCTGGCAAGTGGAAGAGAGAGAGAATATTTAGAATAATATTTAGAGTTGGAAGGGACCTTGGAGGTCTTCTAGTCCAACCCCCTGCTTAGGCAGGAAACCCTACACCACTTCAGACAAATGGTTATCCAATCTCTTCTTAAAAACTTCTGTCTAATTGAATGATTTTAAATTGGGTTTTAACTTTTGGTTTTAAAATTCGGCCAAAACTATTTAATGATTTTAATTAATTTTAACTATGATATTGTATATTTATGTTTTTAATTGGCTGTACACCGCCCTGAGTCCTTCGGGAGGAGGGCGGTATATAAATAAAATTATTATTATTATTATTATTATTATTATTATTATTATTATTATTATTATTATTATTTACAACTTCTGGAGGCAAAGTTGTTCCACTGATTAATTGTTCTAACTGTCAGGAAATTTCTCCTTAGTTCTAAGCTGCTTCTCTCCTTGATCAGTTTCCATCCGTTGCTTCCTTGTCCTGCCCTCAGGTGCTTTGGAGAAGAGCTTGACTCCCTCTTCTCTGTGGCAGCCCCTGAGATATTGGAACACTGCTATCATGTCACCCTGTGAGGGAGGGAGGGATAGAGGGAGATGGGGAGGGGGAGGGGAAGGGAGGGAGGGAGGGAGGGAGGGAGAGAGAGAGAGAGAGAGAGAATCAGACTTGCAAAATTCTCTGATTGTAGCCATTCACCATAAAATTATTACTACCTGTGGAGTTGAATCCTTGGCCTGGTCTACCTGGTCTACTTACCTTTACTACTGGTTTGCAACGGGAGCACGCACGCATGCTTCTGTGCATGCGCAGATCACCCTTGATGACGTCAGGGCAGGTGGGTGGAGCCTCCCGCCAGTTTTACTACCAGTTCTATAGAACCGGAGAGAACCAGGAGCAACCCACCACCGTCCAAAGTGTTCACATTAAGGTGCTCTCAAAGAAAGAAAGGAACTCTGCTAAGATAGGAAAGGCTCTCCTATCCAAGACTGGGGGAAAGTGGGCTATTAAAAAAAAAACCAACCAGTACTGAGGATCTAGTTATGAGAGCATACAACAGGTTCCTCACCGTTCACAGACGGACAGTATCCAAAAAGCAATGATCCAGAGTCCCATTGTAAAGATCAGCAGCACACGGCCCGGCTGGCTGTTGACCATCACCCGTAACACGAAAGGGTACTGGAAGTGGATCTTGTTGAGGGACCCGATGCTGCGGTAAGAGGCATCTCCCAGCACGCTACTCCTCAGCAGCACAGCTCGAGGCACCAGGTAGAGGCGGAGGAACATCACCAGGGAGAGCAACATGTCAACATCTGAGAGGAAGACGAAGTTCTGATTCGGCTGGGGATCCAGGCAAAAGAAATCTCCCACCGGGAAAGGGTGAAGGGAGCAGACTAAAAACTCGAGGATGATGAGAGCCAGTTTCGGAGTGCTGACTGCAATTCGCCAATCAGTGAGGGCATTATCCAGCATGAAGAGCTACAAGGCAAAGGGAACACAAGAGCATGAACGAGCCGGAAGCAAAGCTCTCTGCGAGGTTGTCCCACGGTTGGAATTCATTGTTGGAATGTATTTCTATGCAACAACTACAGTAGTATTCAGCCAGTAGATGGCAGTATTTACAAGTTTGGATCTGCGGTGTATACTCTATGCTTTTTCGTTCTAAGTAGAGTTTCCTGCTTCCTGTTACAGTAATATAGTTGAGCAGTAAAGCACATGGTGACTGTGCTCTTTGTTTGCTCTATGTGATGCTTTATATAAACAGAATTTCTAAACCCCTCCCAATCAACTGGGCAGTTGAGAAGAATGATACCCAACTTTTCATGGAGGAAATGTGGTTAACAGTCATAAGTCATAAATATGAACCAGTTGCCAAGCATCTGAATTATGATTACGTGATCGTGGGGATGTTGCAAAGGTTGTAACTGTGAAAAAATGGCCATAAGTCATATTTTTCAGTGCTGTTTGAATGGTCACTTAACAAACTGTTGTAAATCGAGCACTATCTGTATTTGCCAATCTATGGTTGAGAAAGTGGGTCTAAGCCTAAATCGCACAGGGAGCTTCTGTGCCTGAGGGGTCTAAAACGTGGGCTTCTCTATTCCTAATCCAGCACCTTCCCCTCCAACCCAGAGTGATTCTTGGTCTAAGAGAGATGGTTTGGGTCAAAGTCACCCAAGAAACTTCAACATTTAGAATAGACTAGGTTCTGGATCTTCCTACTCCTAGCTGAACGCCTCTATTGTTACACCATGTTGGCTGTTGGGCTGAGAGAAAAGGATTGGCCCAGAGTCACCCATTCAACTCCCATGGCTGGCTGTGAATTTGGGTCTCTCTGCTCCTAGTCCAACCCATCACCCCTACTCCATGAGAATAGAGGAGAGGAGAAGAGAGGAGAAGAGAGGAGAAGAGTGGTGAGTTGCTACCAGTTCACCCCGGATTGGGCGAACTGGTAGCAGCAGCGGGAGGCTCCGCCTACCTGCCCAGACGTCTCTCCGCATGCGCAGAAGCAAACCAGTAGCGGCCAAAATTGAAACCCACTACTGAAGTAGAATAATAGAAGAAGAATAGAATAGAATAGAATAGAATAGAATAGAATAGATAGAATAGAATAGAATAGAATGGAATGGAATGGAATGGAATGGAATGGAATGGAATGGAATGGAATGGAATGGAATAGAATAGAATAGAATAGAATAGAATAGAATAGAATAGAATAGAATAAGAATAGAATAGAATAGAATAGAATAATAGAATAATAGAATAACAGAATAACAGAATAACAGAATAACAGAATAACAGAGTTGGAAGGTACCATGGAGGTCTTCTAGTCTAACTCCCTGCTCAGGTAATCCTATACCATTTCAGACAAACGGATGTCCAATCTCTTCTTAAAAACTTCCAGTGTTGGAGCATTCAGAACATCTGGAAGCAAACGTTTCCACTGATTAATTGTTGGTTCTTAAGATGGAAAACACACGTCAGGCCCTGAGCCCCTACCCAGGAAGCTACAAGCTGGGTCTCCCTTCTCCTCATCCAGGGCCTTCACCACACCTCCTCACTGACTCCCTGGCCTAATATCACCCAGGGAGCTTTTAGACCTGGGTCTCCCCATTCTTACTCCAGCACCTTCAGCACTGCCGCCCCACACTGGCTCTTAAGGCCAGAGGGAACAACTGGCCCAAAGTCACTCAGAGAGCTCCTGCGGCTGAGAATGGAAGGGGAACCTGTTTCAAGGTATGTGTCAGAGAGGTTTGCGGTAGTCCACAAACGTTCAACAGCTCCCTGCATCTGGAATCGAGCTTCCGTGATTCAAGACAGGTAACACTTGAGTAATTCCCCCCTCGGGATCAGAATAAAACCTCTATTGTGAAAAGCTGCCATTGCGGTATCACAACATAAGGAACGGAACTGAATGCCAAGTGTTTTTTCTTTTTTACAAAGCAAGTACAGATTATGCTTGATGGAAGTGCAAAAGCTCTTTATTATTATTATTATTATTATTAAAATCAGTTTATAGGCTGCTGATGGTTTAGTCTTGACTTCTTGATGACTCCCCAAGAGAGGAACACAAAATCCAGCCAAAGACAGATCGTCCTCGACTCACAGCCAAAATTGAGCCCTAAATTTATGTTGCTATGTGAAACATTTGTTAAGGGAGTTTTGTCCCATTTTACAACTTTTCTTGCCATCGTTGCTAAGTGAATCACTGCAGTTCTTAAGTTAGTCACACCGTTGTTAAGTGAATCTGGCTTCCCCCATTGACTTTCCTGATCAGAAGGTCGCAAAACGGGATCACGGGACCCCAGAAACACTGCAACAGTTATAAAATGGGAGAAGGGCGGTATACAAATTAAATAAATAAATAAATAATAAATAAATAAAAACGAATCAGTTACAAGCATCTGAATTTTGATCATAAGTCGTAAGTCATAAAACGGTCATAAATGACTTTTTTCCAGTGACATCACAACAAATGAACGGTCGCTAAACGAACTGTCGTAAGTCGAGGACTACCTGGAGATACGGGTTCAGTTTTACATTTACACCAGACCAATTTCAGCTGCATTGGTCAACAACTGGGGTTCGATATTCCTCCAGAGAGCCCAATGTTTAACGCAGTAGCTTTTCTGCTTTTATTATGTGATTTTGACTTGTGGTTTTTTTTAACCCTTCAATTGCCAATGATAAATGGGGAGCTGCTCCAAGACCTGGTTAATTGGAGTAGCAAGGAAGCCCTGGTAAACATACCAGCAGATGAAATACCTCCTGATTTAAGGGCCTAAAATGCACTTTGGGGAAATGCCCATCAAAGGAACATCACCAATATCTCAGGGGCTGCCCCAAAGAAGAGGGAGTCAAGCTATTCTCCAAAACACCTGAAGGCAGGACAAGAAGCGATGGGTGGAAACTAATCAAAGAGAGAAGCAACCTAGAAATAAGGATAAATTTCCTGACAGTTAGAACAATTAACCAGTGATATAACTGGCTCGTATTGCCGTCATTCTTTTAAGGTATCGAGTGATCACTCTTACCAGGGGAGGAGAGTCAGCCCTCAACAGAAAAAATAAATAAATTATCGATTGTAAGGAAGATGAGCTCAGTTAGAGAGGAGCTATCCTATTTGGGTTATCTAGTCTTGGCAACTTAGCTACTGAAATTTGATATTGTAAAATTTTAATGTCATCTATCATATATTTTTAGATTGCTATTTTTGTAACTGTTCTATCTTTTTCCCTTTTTCTTTTCTGTTTTGTTTGAAAAGGCCTTCGGGCTATTCAATAAACTATACAATAAACAATAAAAACAATTAACCAGTGGAACAACTTGCCTCCAGAAGTTGTGAATGCTCCAACACTGGAAGTTTCTAAGAAAAGATTGGATAACCATGTGTCTGAAGTGGGTGTAGGGTTTCCTGCCTAAGCAGGAGGTTGGACTAGAAGACCTCCAAGGTCCCTTCCAAACTCTGTTATTCTATTCTAAACCACTTTAATCCTCAGCTGCCCAAAGTCACTGCCACCCGTCACAGCTTGGCAGTAGCCTGGTGAACCCCGCCGTGACTCAGCCAGGAAATCGTGCTCTCCAATCAGCAACGGAGATCAAAGAGTCCACAGGAAAGAAAGAAAAATTCTTCTGAAGTATATTTTCCGACTGTCGCTGGCTCGCCCGCCACAAACCAAGACATGTTGAGCTCTACAGAAGGGGAGGATTAAATGTCTGGGCTGGCCAGTCGGCCTTGGAGGGACAAGTCTCGACTTCAGCCTGATCTGTTTGGCATTTTCCAACCCTGAGCACTGTTTGAACATGGATTTCTTCAGAAAAAACCCTGTTTGTGGCCAATGCAGTTCCTTCTCTTTGCTTTTGACTGCTAAAACCAGGGCAGACTGACAGGCACAGAGTTAATACTAGTATTCTTTAATATTAATTGTTAACGGGGGGTGTTGGCTGATGCTGAGAACTCCCCCAAAGGTGCCCAGGTTTTCAGGGGTTTTATAGTGTTCAAATTCTGGGGAAGAACTACCACTGTCCCCCAAATAGAGGATGCACCATTTATGTTTCATTTGCTGAGATGGGCAACTGTAGAAATCAGCCCCAAATACATCAATTTCTTGTACCACATTGGGGCTGATGATTCGTATAATTTATTTGTTTGTTTGTTTGTTTATCATTTATTTTATACATCAGGGGTTTTCAATTCAATTGTATAGAATGTGAAGGATGTTTTTATATGCATAATGTACACTGAAGATGGCATTTAATTTCGTTGTACAAGGTGCAATGACAATAAAGTAAGCTGTTTTGTCTGTCTGTCTGTCTGTCTGTCTGTTTGTTTGTTTATCTCATTTCTACATGGCCCAGCTCATCTAAATCATCTTCGTGAACTTAAAATAACTAAGATCAGTAAATTATCTTAGTCATCTCAGTTCTCCGATGCTTCTTTGCAAATGTTGCAATGCAAACGTATAATTTTTCACATGGAACAGACAGGGGAAATGATTCAACACCAGGACAGAGTTACATTATTGGGAGTTTTTTTTAAAAAAAAAAACTTTTACACTTATTCTTTAGTTGTGTTGAATTTAGATTAAAGGAGCCTGTATCCAGATTCGTGGGCCACCAGTTGAAGGAGGAATCCAACCTTGATTTGAAATCAGCTGTTTTTGATGAAGCTACTTATCTATTTATAAATGTATAAAGTCCCATTTTGGGGGGATGAGGGCGAATTATTCTAGTTGTTCCTTTCCTTTAATAATTCTGATTGTACCCGGCACATGTGAAAGACCTATTACTTCCACCACCTTGCAGTTCAGATAAATATTTTCCAGGGTTATTTCATTTTCTTATTAGAGGAATGGCATCTGCAAAATATGTCAGAGTTTGGCATACATAACAATCTTTTTGTTATGAGAGAATTAAAAGGAAGAGTGTTGATCCTGGCAGACCTGGGCTAAGTAAACCTGCCCTTCCCCAAGTCAAAGTTTGTTGTTTTTCAGGTCTCGTTCTGGAGTAGCTCCCATATTTATGAGATAATTACCCTGCGCTGCCTTCCATCTATCCTTGACTTACAGCAGTTTGTTTAGTGACTATTCAAAGTTACAATGGCACTGAAAAAAGTGAGTTATGACCGGGGGTAGGCTGCTAGAGGTTCGCAGGGGTTCGGGAGAACCCCTAGCTAAGATTCTGTGCAATTCAGAGAACCCCCAAATCCCACTCCTGGCTGGCCCCGCCCACCCCGCCCCTCCCCTCCCCGGAGTCCCCACGTGTCCTGTTTTGGATGCAGGGAAGTGCAGGGCACATATGGAGGCTCGGGGAGGGTGAAAAACAGGCCTACCGGAAGTTCGGGAAGACCAGAAACGGGTCTGTTTCCGGCCTCCAGAGGGCCTCCAGCGCCTGGGGAGGCCGTTTTTGCCCTCCCAGAGCTTTGAGGAAAGTCTCCGGAGCTCAAGGAGGGCAAAAACGCCCCCCGCCCCCCACCATGGTGCAGAAGGCCGACTAGGCCACACCCACCATGGCCATGCCTACCCAGCAACCGGGCAGAGAACCCCTTGCTAAAATATTAAAATAAAATAAAATAAAATTTTAAAATAAAGCAACAAATGATATTCATAATAGCCCATAAAAGGGATGGGCCCATCTAACTAAGGTAGCCGTTGAGCTGGATGAATCTCAACAGTTCTCTGCCCTTTATTTTATCTTGTGCTGCTTCGTAGAAACTTTTAGAAGCTGCCCTGGGTTGACAGCTCTCACACTGGATTCCAAGCATTGAGGTGAGGCTCGGAGATGCAACAGGAAGCCCTCAACAAAATTCAATTAAAATAGGCTGAAGCTCCCAATAGGTGCCAGCAGCATCGCCCACCTCTCCCTTATAGTTACCTGGATCTCTTTGATGTGAAAGGCCAAGACCAGGATGATTAATCCCACGGTAGAGAGGGTGATGAGGCACTTGGTCATGAAGGCGTAAGCGAACCACTGAAAGGAGAGCAAGAGAGAAGAGATACGTGAAGGAAACTGTTGTGACCCAGGCCCAAGTAGGTATTATCAGACGCAATCAGTTCGAAAACAAACGGACTTTATTAGATCAGCTGAGAATTAACTCATTCTCAGCGTAGTCCAAACTAATTCAAAACAAATTCTTCATAACACAATTCTTCAGCCTTATCACCAACCTTGGTCTAATTAGGCAACCTGCCAAAGGCTTTTCTTGGCAAAAGTTCAGGAGCAGAAGACGCCGACCAGAAATAAATGCAGCAAGACAAGAAACAAATCTATAAATGTTGTTTTCTGACAAAGAGCCCAAGAGCCATTGCTGGTCTTTTAAGCCTTATGGGAGAGGCCAATCATCTCTTGGCCTTACTCCCAAGTCGTCCTCTTTGCTTTAGCTGCTCTTGCCTTCTGGCAGCTCTTCTCATGCGTACATTAGGAACAGGCTCCTCCTATTCCTCTGACTCTCTGCTATCAGCCTCTTGAGGCTCCGGAGTCTGCACATCACTCCCAGATGGCCCTGGCCCCATCTCTGCCTCTGATGCAGAGCCCTCATCTGGGCCTTCCCCAGCCTCCAGGACTGGCCCATATTCTTCCTCAGCCTCATCACTGTCCGACTTCGCTGCCAGTTCCGCAGGCTGCTGGCAGACCACAAGAGAAACTCCTCAAGTCTATGAGCCTAAGACCACCGAAAGTTTGAGAGGTCTCCCTTTGGTTAGAGAAGAACCTCTAACGCTCCTTCCTTCAACTCTTCCCATGGCTATTTTGACTTCCGTTCCATTCAAACAGGGGACTGTGACCGCCATGTTCCCTCTGGCCAGAGGTCAGCTGCTGCCCGTTTGGGCAAACCAGTATTTCCGACTACCGGCTGGGCCCGTCACCCACCCCGCCGCTATCCCGTCCTATATATATCACTCTCTGGCTCGCTCGCCCAGCCCACACAGTCCAGCTGATTTCCGCACCTCTCCCGCTCTATTCACCGTGGCTGCCCAAGAAGGTATGCTGGAAGCCACACATATGAAATTGCCATGTGTTTGAAGCTGTGCACAAGCGCACTCACATTTTCAGTTCTGCACTAGGTGAACTGGTTGTTAAATTTTGCAGAGCCCACCTCTGCCTCTGGCCATTAAATAAGGCCCGTAGAGCATGTACGAATGTGCATGAAGCACATTCTTTTGCTGAAGAGACAACCATATCCCCCCCACCCCCAGGTGGCACAAGCAGTGGTATGTCAAGCCAAAACAGCCAGTAGACCTTCCAAGCTGTTGCAACGGCTTGGAAAAAGACACACCTATTTTAGCGATATATATTTTTTTAAATTCCTGAAAATTCTGCAGGATTTCACTCAAAGGATGTCCATAGCTTGTTTCTTCTGCAACGCATGATTCTGCTGGACAGTCTTTTTTTTTTTTTTTTGAAAAGCAGTTTTAGGGAATGTGGACCTTTGGAACAGTGACAAGAAGTTGAGGCGTTGAACCAGCTTTTCCCAACCTCCCCCTATGCAGACTGGTGGACTGCAGTTCCCTGAATTTCCAGCTAAGCCAGGGAACTGGGAGAGTTGCCATCCCAACGTGTGTCCTAAGGAGGTAATGTTTCATTAAAAAATTGCCAGTTGAAGAAGATTTATATAAGCCCACTGTTTGCCTTTTTTGGGGGAGCGGGGGGAGATTTGTAGGCCTTTTTCATGGGACAGTTATGGAGAAATTGCAATTTTTATGGGGATTATATTTTATGAAGAGAGAGGAAAGAAGGAGGAAGAAATTGCCATTTTTAAGGGGATTATAGAGGAGGAGGAGTCAGACGAAGAAGAGGAAGAGGAGAAGGAGGAAGCAGCAGCGCCAGAGGCCACTGTAACAGCATTGCCAAAAAGGCATTAAGAGTTGTTAACCTAATCTTGCGAAGCTTCTTCTCTGGTAATATTGTACTGCAAACTAGGGTATACAAAACCTTTGCTAGACCAATTCTTGAATACAGCTCGCCTGCCTGGAATCCACATTGTATATCAGACATTAATACAATTGAGCGAGTCCAGAGGTATTTCACGAGAAGAGTCCTCCACTTCTCTACTCACAACAGAATACCTTATGCCACCAGGCTTGAAATTTTGGGCTTAGACAATTTAGAACTACACCACCTTCGGTCTGACCTAAGTAGACCAAATTATCTGCTACAACATCCTACCTGTCAATGACTACTTCAGCTTCAACCACAACAATACACGGGCAAACAATAGATACAAACTTAAGGTAAACCGCTCCAAACTCAACTGCAGAAAATACGACTTCAGCAACAGAGTGGTCAGTGCCTGGAATGCACTACCTGACTCTGTGGTTTCTTCCTCAAACCCCCAAAACTTTAACTTTAGACTGTCTACTGTTGACCTCACTCCATTCCTAAGAGGTCTGTAAGGGGGCATGCATAAGCGCACCAGTGTGCCTACCGTCCCTGTCTTAATGTCCCCAATTATTTGTATCCATTTCATGTATTAATAACCATGTTTATACTTATATCTGTTATCTTAGACATGTTCGACAAACTAAATAAATAAATAAAAATAAAGGAAGAGGAGGAGGAAGAGGAGGAGAAGAAAGAAAGAAAGAAAGAAAGAAAGAAAGAAAGAAAGAAAGAAAGAAAGAAAGAAAGAAAGAGAAATTGGAATGTTTAAGGGGATTATTTATTTATTTTGTTTTATTTATTCAATTTATATGCCGCCCCTCTCCGAAGACCCAGGGCGGCATATAAATTGGAGGAGGAGGAAGAGAGGAGGAGGAGGAAGAGAGAAGAAGGAAGAAGAGAGAAGGAGGTTACTGTGATTTCTTAGTACATGCCAATATTTAAGGTGCACCTATATTGCACAATATTGGTTACCACCTTTAGAGCGCTCCATGGCTTAGGACCTGGTTATCTACGGGACCGCCTGCTACCACCAATAGCCTCCCACCGACCAGTACGCTCCCATAGAGAGGGGCTCCTCCGGGTGCCGTCGGCCAAACAATGTCGACTGGCAGCCCCCAGGGGGAGAGCCTTCTCTGTGGGGGCACCTACGATCTGGAACGAGCTGCCCCCGGAGATACGGAGGATCCCGGATCTGCGTACCTTCCGTCACGCGCTCAAGACTTTCTTATTTCATCAAGCTGGCCTGACCTAAGTCTTTTTTCCCTTTTTAAATGGAAATTTTAAATTCGTTTTTAAATTACTGGGGTTTTAAATTTGTTCAGCCAAATTATTTAATTCCTTTTATTTTATTTTAAATTTTGTATTTATATGTTTTATTCTATGGCTGTTCACCGCCCTGAGTCCTTCGGGAGTAGGGTGGTATATAAATTCAATAAAAACAAAAAAAACAAAAAAAAACCTTGAATGTGCACATATAAAAACCGTAACACAGCTGTGGCCCTCTGCAAAGGGAAGCCATCTCACCCAGCCTGGCGGCCTGCGTTCCCACTAGGATCATCAGCCTCACGCAACATCCTTGCACTCTTGACATCTTGCTGGAGGGATTATGGTGGGTGAATTCACCCAGGCCAGGCCAGGCCAATACCTGGCTGTCAGCCACGGAAGCTGCCTGGAACTCCAGAAACCACCACGGGGCAATCCGTTCAAGGTTAACAGAAGGAAGTCATTGTTCGCACAATTTAAACAAAAGATTATTAACAAGGGATTCGCTGGCCCGGGAGTCACACCTTATCTGTGCTGAAAGATCCGTGTTTGCTTCCCATTTGTTTTTTTGGATCAGGGACAACGTCAGGCTCCTGCGGCAGCTGTGGGGACCACACGATCTCTACGGGGCCCCTTCACGAGTCTTGCGGCGTTCAAGACAAACAGAGCACCTGGCTTGGTGCCCCTGTTGGAAATAGCCAAAATTAAATAGGCATTTCATTTCCCGCAATTCTCCCGGCGCGGCTTGGAGCTAGGCGCCGGTTGTTTAGTCGCTTTTCTCCAGGGCCATTGTAATTTCAAACCGTCACTAAAGGAACGGTTGTAAGTCGAGGATTGCTTATCCGTGCAGCTCCCAACACATTCCGTGCGACGTAAATGTAGCCTGTATCCCTAAAGACTGAGTCCAAAGATATTCATATCTGATGCAGTGGTGGAATTCAAATTTTTTTACTACAGGTTCTGTGGGAGTGACTTGGTGGGTGTGGCAGGGAAATGATACTGCAAAATGATACTACTACTGCAGAGCCTGTAGTAGAGTGGACTAAAGCACTGTTATTAACAGATTAACATCTGCTGATTGCAATTACCGCAAGTTCAAATCTCACCAGGCTCAAGGTTGACTCAGCCTTCCATCCTTTCAAAGGTAGGTGAAATGAGGACCCAGATTGTGGGGGCAATAAGCTGACTGTATAAATATACAAAAAGTATGAAGGCTATTGCTTAACGCATTGTAAGCCGCCCTGAGTCTCCGGAGAAGGGCGGCATATAAATTAAAGCAAAAAAAATAAAATAAAAACCCCCATTCCCTCTCCACTCCTGGGGGAAGGATATTGCAAAATCCCCATTCCCTCCCCACTCTGGGGCCAGCCAGAGGTGGTATTTGCTGGTTTTCCAAACTACTCAAAATTTCCGCTACCGGTTCTCCAGAACCTGCTGAATTTCACCCCTGATTTGATGGCAACAGTCTAGCTCAAAATGCAGCACCTCTATTTTATGGCCGAAAATCAGGAGCCTGGAAGGAGTCTTGGTGAATCCGACTTCCCTGTTGAGTTTGCTTGTCAGAAGGTCACAAAAGGAGATCATGTGACACACACATACACACACACACACACACGGACGCTGCAACCGTCATAAATATGAACCAGTTGTCAAGCATCCAAATGTTTGTCACATGTCCATGGGGAATACTGCAATGGTCGTAAGTGTGAAAAATGGTCGTAAGACGCTTTTTTCAGTGCAACTTTGAACGGTCACTAAATGAACCGATGCAAGTCGAGGCCTATCTGTACTGTCTTTTTTCTCCTTACTGTTATGGAAGGAGTTAAATT